CGCGTATGACAAAACCTTTTTGATTCAAATCAATTATTTGCGATAGTACGTTTTTTAACCTTTCCGCAAGTACTATAGATATGATTTTATAGTCCGTGTTCAAGAGCGTTATATGACGGCAATTTGTTTATGTCCTCTCTCTCTACAGTTTTACACAAGCGTTATCATACCTCTGTATTGAGATTCACAGAGCAAATTTTTGTCGAAAATTTCCTTAATAACCGCCACTAAGTCGTCGTTTATCAAATACCACACAATTCCGTCTTCCCAAGAGGATTTATCAAGTTTAAACATTTCAACGGCCTTACTAATTCCATCCAAAGTTATTTCCATTTCACACATTTTTTTATTTTCTTCACTTAGTTCATGATCTAGATTCTGTAATAGATTTTCTGAAGCATCCCTATCCCACCCCTGGGACGTAAATTCTTTTTTGTAGAAAGCTACATGTTCTTCTAGAATAGATTCTATATCATCTTTATACCTTCCATCTGAACCCTTTATTCTAGTCCATAATTTTTCCGCGCCCCTCTTTTTTCGATTTTAAAGAAGTACCCTGTAGATGTTTTGCCTTGCTCGTACCAATTAACCTTAGAACTAATTCTGGCTGCTTCGCCTTTTTTGTCGTAATAACCTTTAATTTTAGCTTTCAAATTATTTAATTCGTTTTCCTTATTGAAAGGATCGGTTCCCGTTATATTATCCAATCTTTTTTCCCACTCCCTTATTTGTTTTTCTGTAACGTTTAATTGCTTTGCAACTTCTATAGTAATACTTTTTATTTGTATCTTAGTTTCCTCTCACCATTCAATATTATTTTTGAACTGATTTTTTTTTTATTTCCAGTTTCCCCAAATGCTTTCGAACGTATTTCTAAATAAATCCGATTCAATAACTGATGAGTTCATTTTCCACGTTCCGTGACCGCGTTCTGGTTCATTAATTTTTAATTTCATGAACACACCGTCGTGGTCACTGAAAAGAAATTAAACTATTTTTACCTGTTGCGATTTAAATTGATATGCACTATTCATTTCAAGTAGGTGGTAATTAGGACCCTCTTGATTGCGCGGTCCATATTGGATATATATAATGACTTTCTTCGAATCTGAGACATTGTCACGTGTATGGTTAAATTTTTCCGGGGTACGAACTGCAATTCGTTTTCCATGATTTTGCGTACTCCGAAAATCCCTTTCTTATGCGGCCTCTCGAGGTAAAAAATTCCTCTTTTCACAAAAAAAGTTCTCTGGAAAATCAGTTATTCATGTTATTTGCATGCATTCAATAAATCCATAGTTTTAACATCAAGATTCTATGGTCATCTGCTTTTCAGATCAACACAAATGACAAGTTCAGTCACTAGTTTAAAATTGCACATGTGCAAGATCACTGAATAGAAAAAAATGTTCTTATTCTTTTTCTTATAACGATATGTTTCGCTTTAAACAAAGGAGTAGGTTCAAGAAGGTCTAAGATTGCCCTAAAATCTTGTGAAATTTACCTTTAGTGATACAATTAAAATTTAATGACAAATTATGTAAAAAATATTTGACAAATACAAATTAACCAAGCTCTGATGACGTCATAATCGTGCACTCTAATGAAAACAATCACGATCTTGACTAAATTTGGCCTATATTTTAATAGCTTTTTCTTCAAACAATATCTGCCACCTACAAGGACCACCATAATTTTTGTGAGGATGTGTATATAATCCATATATCTTTTTGTAACAAATTTATTTTGGTCGAGGGGTATTACATATGTTTTTCAGACCTTTTTGAAAGGCATACAGACAGGCAAATTGGCTAAAACAAGTGAAATATCATACATTTGTACTGTTGAAGCTGTCAACATTATTAAAACAAACAGCAGACAACAAAAGTGTTTAAATTTGCATACAACAGATTGTAAAAATAGGTTTTTAAATATAGTATTACAAAGTTTGATTTCTAGTTGCTAATTTGAGGACCTCGTGGAAATACTCCTTCACAATGTTGACTGATGTATGTACTCAGCAAAATGTTTTATTATTTGATACTTATCACTTTTAAGTCATATGGTACTTCAATTTTGTTTTAAAAAGCTGATTATTTTTATATACTTGAAAAGCTGAGTTTCACTAAAAACACACGAGACAGTTTACTTTCTTGTGATAGAAAATCATTTATGTTATCAAAATCTTCAGAAATATACTGCTTTTGAATTAGTGTATTCCCGTACTCTAATTCGTAGATTTTTCCCTGTATGTAGTGACATTAACTACGTTAAATATTTGGTCACCGCACAGCACACGTGCGAGGGAAGCCGTTATGAAAGAATGTAAACAATTGTGCATTGGAAGGTAAATAGTAATAATTGATTCCTAGAAAACAAATTCAATACACCAAAATCAGTTAACAACCGTTACAAAAAAGTTAAATTAACAAAAGAGAACACATGAACAATATAACTACAAAATACATTGCTCTATCAAATCCCTTGCTTTCTCGTGCTCCATGATTTTGTGTTGTTTGTTTTTTTATCAATGTCACTATCCGGTTATCTTCGACAACAAACTTGACAGTTAATTATTTTGCAATCAACAATAACTGAATGACATATCATTTGTTCATAATATGTAATAGGTGTGTAATAAATGTAAAGAACGTGCAAAGAGGACTTAGTTTAGTATATATGCATGCATTTATTCAATAATTTCCAAAACATTATAATTACAAGAAACTCGTTTCATATGACTTTAACATGCATTTTAACAAAGGCTTACAATAATCTGATAAAATCTTTTTTGACTATAAATCAAAATACTAGGTGTTATATATTACTTTAAATGCCTCAAATCTTCGATAAATAATAATATATACTAGTGTGTATTACCTATAATAACTGGATGTACTATATTTAAATACATGTATTCAGTCTTTTTTATTATCTATATTATGATCTTTACATGTTCGGCAAAAACGAGGTTGAGTACCCGCTTAAATCAGTTAAGTATCATATAAGGAAAAGTGAGAAAAGGGATATATTCAATGGAAAAGTAAGTACAAACGACATATTGAACGAACACATCAAAATTGGTTATTATATAAACATTTGAATATTGGATTCATATAAACAAAATATACCATGTATACCTATTTGTTCAACCTTTGAATAATATCTAAACACCATTCAATAATGAAACAATTGAGTACTATACAGATTAATTTAGAATGTGAATGAAGATTAAAATAAGGAAAATCAATTTTAATTTTAATGTTATACGTGAAATTTTCGATCATTTAAAATTTTGGAAACGCATCATTTCATGTGATGAATGCCATATAAATATTACATTATATTTTGATAAATGACGTTTAAAGGCCTTTCTTTGTTAAACAATTAATCAAAAGAACAATTAAAAGACGAGTACGTTTGGTAACCACATATATGCGTTTAAGATCGAATGTGCTCTATTGAAACAAATGTATATTCATTCGATCCTGATATGATTATATTTCCTTCTTCTACAAGAAAAAGAGTATCATACCCGCAGATAAGTTGATTTAATCTAATATACTGAATGTTCTGTACATTACAACATTACAGTCATTAGAAAAGTAACAAACGTATACAAGATATATTTTCATTTATCTGAATGCTGTCTATGAAAAATCATGAGGCTGAACTGTAACACTTGAGCATTGAATTTAAAATTATTGATATTCATTCGATCAATTTTCTATGAATGATCGATTTTTGATTTTTCAGTACAATAGGGTAACATTCAAAAAAATGTCTCCCACTGAACCATGTGAGAGTAAAATGCTTCATTATAATTAACTAATCCAAATCTGGCATTTGTACGTGAAGTATAACTATATCATATAATACATTTTAAGATAGAAAAGGGATATCATCGAGGAAAAAGTAAACAAGACTTATATTTTTGGTAATTAGATATGAATAATATAATTTCATCTCATTTACGAATTATATAAAACAAATATTTTCAAGACAACAATATCAGCCTATTTTCATTTGTTGATTGCATGTAACCATGGATTACTATAAGAATTATCTTAAAATATGAACAAATAAAAAAACCGTTTAACTTTATATTTATGTTTAAAATAGAAAAAATACCAAAGCACTGAATTTGTAAATTATTTACATTTCTTACCAAGTATAATTTGTTTAGAATATATTATCTACTTTACATGCCGAATAATAGCTATGCTTTGAGAAGACCATAAACCCGATCTACGTAGTTAGTACGCATAATACCTCTTGTAAGTTAATAGATGTCTCAAACATAAAATACTATGGAAAATAGAGATAAGTAAAGGCCATACGACAGGAAGAGAAATGTTACTGCTGGGAAATAGAAGTTGACAAGTGGAAGGCTTCAAATGTCAAGTTTGACTCGGATCCTAGTTTGAAGTTTTAAATCCGCCTTAACCATGTTAACATCATGAATATGTTCCAGATATGTATCTTACCTTTTTCGTTACTATCCCTTATTCCAAGTTCACTATTAGGTGACTTATCTTAAATATTTGTTTAAGATCTTCGCAAGATGAATATCAGTAAAGGTGACTCTAATGACAAAAATCACGATCTTGACTAATTTTGTCCTATATTTTAATAGCTTTTGCTTCAAACAATATCTGCAACATATAAGGACCACCATAATTTTTGTGAAGATGTGTATATGATCCATATATCTTTTTGTAACAAATTTATTTTGGTCGAGGGGTATTACATATGCTTTTCAGACCTTTTTGAAATGCATACAGACAGGCAAATTGGCTAAAACAAGTAAAATATCATACATTTGTACTGTTGAAGCTGTCAACATTATTAAAACAAACAGCAGACAACAAAAGTGTTTAAATTTGCATACACCAGATTGTAAAAATAGGTTTTTAAATATAGTATTACAAAGTCTGATTTCTAGTTGCCAATTTGAGGACCTTGTGGAAATACTCCTTCACAATGTTGATTGCTGTATGTACTCAGCAAAATGTTTTATTATTTGATACTTATTACTTTTAAGTCATATGGTACTTCAATTTTGTTTTAAAAAGCTGATTATTTTTTATATACTTGAATAGCTGAGTTTCATTAAAAAAACACGAGAAAGTGGACTTTCTTGTGATAGAAAATCATTTATGTTAACAAAGTCTTCAGAAATGTACTGCTTTTGAATTAGTGTATTCCCGTATCCTAATTCGTCGATTTTTCCCTGTATGTAGTGACATTTACTACGTTAAATATTTTGTCACCGCAGAGCACACGTACGAGGGAAGCCGTTATGAAAGAATGTAAACAATTGTGCATTGGAAGGTAAATAGTAATAATTGATTCTTAAAAAAACAAATTCAATACACCAAATCAGTTAACAACTGTTACGAAAAAGTTAAATTAACAAAAGAGAACACATGAACAATATAACTACAAAATACATTGCTCTATCAATTCATTTAGTTACTCGTGCTCCTTGATTTTGATTTTTTATCAAGCTCACTTTCCGGTTAACTTCAGCAACACACTTGAAAGTTTATTATTTTGCAAACAACAATTACTGAATGACATATTATTTGTCCATAATGTGTTATAGGTATAAAATAAATGTAAAGAACGTGCAAAGAGGACTTAGTTTAGTATATATACATGCATTTATTCAATAATTTCCAAAACATTATAATTACAAGACTTGTTGTATATGACTTTAAAATGCATTTAAACAAATTCTTACAATGATCTGATTAGTTCCGTTTTTTTTATCTTGGCTATTGATCAAAATACTAGGTGTAATATATTACTTTAAAGGCCTTAGATTTTCGATAAATAATAAAATATATATACTAGTGTGTTTTACCTATAATAACTGGATGTACTATATTTAAATACATATATTCAGTCTTTTATAATTTAGTATGATGTTTACATGTTCGGCAAAACCAAGGTTAGATACCCGCCTAAATCAGTACAGTATCATATAAGAAAAAGTGAGAAAAAGGGATATATTCGACAGAAAAGTAAGTACAAACGAAATATTGAACGAACATATCAAAACTGGTTATCTATATAAACATTTGAATACTGAATTCATGTAAACAAAATATAACATGTATATCTATTTGTTCAACCTTTGAAGAATATATAACCACCATTCAAGAATGAAACAACTAAGTACTATACAGATTAATATAGAATGTGAGTGAGGATTTGAATAAGTAACATCAATTTTGATTTTAATGTTATACGTGAAATTTTCGATCATTTAAAATTTTAGAAACGCATCATTGCATGTGACGACTGCCATATAAATATTACATTATATTATGATAAATTACGTTTAAATGCTTTTCTTTGTAAGCAATTAATCAAAACAACAATTTAAAGACGAGTAAGTATGCATTTGGTAACCAGATATATGCGTTTAAGATCGAATGTCTTTAACAAATGCATATTGAATATCATTCGATCCTGATATGATTATATTTCCTTCTTCTGCATAAAATAGAGTATCATACCCGCAGATAAGTTGTATTTAATTTATTATACTGAATGTATTGTACATTACAACATTACAGTCATTACAAACGAAACAAACATATACAAGATGTATTTTCCTTTATCTTAACGCTGTCTATTAAAACATCATGAGGCAGAACTGTAGCACTTGGGCATTGTATCTTAAATTATCGATATATATTCGATCAATTTTTGTATAAATTATCGATTTTTGATTTGTCAGTACAAAAGAGTAACATTAAAAAAATTGTATCCCGCTGAACCGTGTGAGAGAAAAATGCTGTACGTGAAGTATAACAATATCATATAATACATTGTAAGAGAGAAAAGGGATATAATCGAGGAAAAAGAAAACAAGACATATTTGTCAAAAGTTGGTAATTAGTTATGAATAATTTAATTTCATCTCATTTACGAACTATATAAAACAAATATTTCCAAGACAACAATATCAGCGTATTTTCAATTGTTGATTGCTTGTGAACATGGATTACTATAAGAATTATCTTAAAATATAAAAGATAAATTAAAAAAAAACGTTTTACTTTATATTTATATGTTTATAATATGAAAAAATACCAAAGCACTGAATTACTAAATTATTTACATTTCTTACCAAATATAGTTTGTTTATAAAATATTATTTACTTAACATGGCGAATATAAGCTATGCTTTGAGAAGACCATAAACCCTAAGTAGTTAGTACGCATTATACCCTTTGTAAGTTAATTGATCTCTCAAACATAAATACTACGGAAAATAGAGATAAGTAAAGGCCATACGACAGGAAGAGGATGTTACTGCTGGGAAATAGGAAGTTGACAAGTGAAAGGCTAAAATGTCAAGTTTGACTCAGATCCTAGTTTGAAGTTTTCCATCCGCCTTAACATCACGAATAAGTTCCAGATAAGTATCTTACCTTTCCCTTTCGTTATTATTCCTTATTCCAGGATCACCATTATGTGACTTATCTTAAATATTTTTTAACACCTTCGCAAGTTTTTTTTTTTTGTTGCGTTTAATGTTATATATGAATCCCGATCCACATTGTTACAAAAACAAGTCTAAGTAGTGTTTACAATTGAAATATCAATGAAGAAATCAAAAGTTCCAGAATATGGCGCATTTGTTGTTGGAATCAATGTCATTCACAAAGCAAGATCATCATGGTCTTAAACAGAAAACTATGTATTTGCGATTCCCATTTTTGTAGAAAACACACTGTTTAAATAGAGTTAATAGTCGACCGTAAAGCGTAGACAAAATAAATAGTTTCGATACATTTGCAAATCTAAACTGTAAATATTTAAGCTTTTTATCTACGATTTGACATAAAAAGTAAAATCACAAAAATACTGAACTCCGAGGAAAATTCAAAAAGGAAAGTCTCTAATCAAATGGCAAATGTAAAATTCTTATAAAAAAAAATGTAGTTGCCAGTCTTGATGTACTCATATGTTAACGTGATTATCACATACTACTTTACTAGGTCTGGTATAGATAGACATCGAATGACAGAAGTTTAAGAACTTCTTTTGAAATAATAATATTTTGACTGCCGTTTATAATCAGCAAAAGGTATAATCATTTTTTTTTTATTATATTAAGGCGCAATTTAACAAAAGCTTATAGGTTGCATTTCTGAAAATATAGACAATGCAATTTTCTATAGGAACTCCCTTAATAGCTAAAACTGTACCACTTTTACTGTGAAGTTTCGTACAAAATCATATCTTAAAATGGAAAGCTCATATGCACTACTATTTTGTTTCAAAAGTCAAAATATAGGGCTGTGCGGCATATTTTTAACCTTTATAAGCCCAGAACTTCTCAAAGTTTAAACTTATATTAAAATTTTGTACTACCCCTCCCTTCACTCTGATTCCTCCTCAGAATTCCAAGCGGCCGCTGTATATGTTCATTTATACTGTTAACATTCCCAAATTATGTATCTATGAGATGAGTATCGCTTCTCTTCATGTAGACATTGACAAAGATTTTTCAAAACTGTAGTTTCGTCAACTACTATAATGGAACTGATGTTAAATAAAAAAGAAGTTTTAAATGGTGTATTGCCATCAGCAGTGTATATTTGATAAAGCGTTATTGTTTTGTCTTATTAAGAGCAAATATGAGACAATTTGAAAGACGTTCAATTATGTGTTTTTAACAAGTGGTTAAAAATTGTATTAACACTAAAAGGACTAAGTGACGATTGTACCACGAATAAGAAATTGCTTCTTTGTATATTCCTGTAGATGTTTCTTCAAAGGTAACCAACTCTAAGGTCTTTTGGTATAATGTCTGTCCTCAAATGCAGTGAGATTAATAAACAAACAATTAACAAAAATGTATGGTCTATAAATCAGTTCTTTTCTTATTACATTAAATTAAAAAGAGAGTTCGTAAACTATTTTTTGTAACTTTAACTTTATTAAAGAATCAACACTCAGATTTTTATTAATTGAGTGATACAGCTAATTGTTGTTCATGGATTACACATTCTAACATTGCAGGTGCCAATAGATCTAGCAGGCAACAAGGCATATACCGTAAAGCGGGTTATTTTCGCGGGATGTTTATTTTCGCTTATTTTGGCGGGCCAGGAGAAATCACGAAAATAAATTCCGCGAAAATTTATGCATACGTGCGATACTTTCTAAGTTAAAGTGTTTTGTAAACTATCTATTTTTCCCTTTTGACGGATCAATCAGGGTTTTTTGTTATTTTAAACAACATAAATGCCAAAGGCCATTGTTCACTGGTTATCAGGTGTTAATTAGTGTATTGGTTACATGATAAAATAAATACTAATATAAGAGTGTAAGGTACGCTGTCAGGTATTTTATCCCTATTAATTAGTGTCAAATTATATAAGAGTTGCAAGTCACTCATGATAATTTTATAATCTAATTAGTATATCAAAGGTCCGGTAAATTTCGTAACTGATCAACCGTAACATTTACAAGAAGTTTGTACACCTGTGAAAAATAACTATGTACCGGTATTCTATTGATTAACTGTATAAAAATAATCAATAAATAAATTCATGCAGGAAAAACAATCATTTAACCATAACAATAGACCCATGTTGGTCAATTTTTACAACTTTTTAACTGGAACCACTTCAGTATCCGCCAAAATATTTAATTGGGATTAAAGAATCCGCCAGAATAAAAACCGCCAAAATTTTTCGTATACTTTGTTGCCCCTAAATCGCGAAATTTTACACCCGCGAAAATAACCCGCTATACGGTATTTCAGATATTCAGTCACTTATGAATTATCAACTAGAAGGAACGACAATAAATCTTGAGATACTATCATACTAAGGAATACTAGAACTTAAACTCGTTAAGGGAGATAATCCTCTGAGTTTGTTAATCTTGAATACAAAAACAAAATAAACATATTTAAGAATGTCAGTTGATACTTTGAACCATTACCATTGATATCTAAAATAACAGTCCTGTGTTTTCAGAATATACTAGATTTCAACAGCAACAAGAGAGATAATCATCTGAACCAGTACAACCTGAATCACTGGACAGTAAGGAATACAATCTACTTTATCAGTTTATATTGAAAGAACCAAATGAAAGATAGAGAACTGTAGGCATCAATGCTAGCTGGTATTTATAATACTAGATTTATAAGACATCAAGAAAGACTATTTGGACCTTAAACTCAAAGGAACTGCTTAAGGACTAAGAAAGAAAACAAACAAGATGGCAACTGCCAATATATCACATGTTTCAGAGGAAGTAGAGAACTATTTGAGACTGCATCTGTTGCTGAACGACATTTCTACGAAGGCTGTACGGATTTTATTTGATAAAGAATTTGACCCTCACTGCTTGCACACAACAATGAAACGAGAATATAATAACTTAAAATCTAAACGTATAATTAACGCAGAGCAGCAAAAGTTACTTTTACCCTATAATGGTAAGTATTATACTTTAAATCCAGTTAACTGTTTGAATTGACGTACGTAAAATGTTTAACGAGCTTTCAAAAATAAAATTTCGGAGAAGGACTGAGACAATGAAACAGCTGGCCAACAACACTTGCGGTAATTAAATATGTTTTTCTTATTTTCGGTTATAAAATTACAAATTTAAATGTTTTTTAACGTAGAGAGTAATTGATATGAAATAGGGAGACGTTGTATTATTGTACATTAGACAACAATCCTACTCAGTCTATATAAAGAGAATTGTTTTCCCATCCACTACAGTGGTTGTTTTGGCAATTATGCGGTTTAAAATTTAGGGCTTTAAATGTTTTTTTCCAGACGATCCATTTCTTTGGAATATCATTATAGGGGAATCAATTATGTTGTGAATCTGTCTGCAATGATATTCAACGACTTGATCAGCAGTTGGTGTTGCGGCCGAACAAATATCTTGCAAATAACGTTGCGTAATCAAATTGTATTGGCATATCATTGACACTACGTATTGATCTGGTCATGGGTGGTCATTGACAAATATCGTCTTCCTGTACCGTTGTTTTCAGGACCGTAAGATGAGTTTCTGGTGTGAATTTGTTTAGCAAGAGTACATTCACGTCTTCCTTCCTGTAATATAACTATGGCCTGTATCAGATTTTCATTACTTACTCTTGGCAATATGGATTTTAAAAAATATAATAATTTAGCTTTCAAAAATTTGTTCGACTTCAATAATCCGGTATGTTCAATAACCTCAGGTAAGTCATGTAATGAATTTTTCTAAACAGAACGAAGTCTGATAAGCATAAATTGTAGTTTTGTGTGTGTTTTGTTTTAAAAGTCAGTAAGTTAGGTAATTGAAAGTAATGAACTACATTGCTTTTTATCACTGTAATTATGGCACCCTCAACGGAGTTGTGGTGAAGTATTGTTATTCTACGTTTCTTTTTTTTTTCCTTATTTTTATTCTTCTTCCACACATTTTGTCAGCGCAAGTTCTCGGAATTGAATGGACCAATGTTGATTGAACTATGCTATAATGTTGACCAGCATGTGAAGTTGTGCACCTGACTTTGGAATATGCAAGATGGCCACAGTTACCATGGAAACTAAAAAAATGTAAAAAATCCTTTTTTTCTAAGACCCAAATTTAAGAAACTTTATGGAAATGTCACCTGGTATGCCTAGATACACAGACATTATTTAGAAGTTCCAAAATGGCTGCCAATGACATAGAAACAGGGCGAGAGTTTAACATTGACCCTGTGGGAAAATACATGAAAGCTGCATTTTCTTAGAGAATATAAGTTCAAATCCAAAAATACTTTATGGATATGTAGCATGGCATGTGCCAATGTTGCATCTGTCTTTAGAATTTTGGAACTGGACACTGTTACCATGGAAACAGCAAAAATGTCGAAATCTTCAAAATGCTCCAAACTTTCTGAAAATTTACAGGAATGTTACCTGGCATGTGCAGAATTGTTATTTGATATTGGAATTTTCAAAATGGCCGCCGTTACCATGGAAACAGCAAAAATTTCAAAATAAAATAAGTACAACAATGTCCTTTTCAAGGATTTAAGATGACTTCAAAGTTGACGTCCTTTTTTTGAAACTGCTGAATTCCCTCTAAATTCACGTTACAAGACGTTGTATTGACGGTTTAATCGTATTTGATATTTCACCACATAGAAAACCCGAAAGTCTATGAAAACGCATACCGTACAGTAGAAAATCCGATAATAAACCTTCAATATTGCATCACTAAACCGTTGTGTAATGTATAAGACAAAGCACCAAACTCAAAGCTAATAAATTGAGAGGGAAAATATCGTTATTTTTCATTAGTCATTTTTGTGTTCTTGATATAGTTTTTCCTTATTTATTCTACATGAAAATTTGATAGGAACGGAGTATTGTTTCCTCGGTAAGGCCTTAACTGACATGATATTCATTGTCAGTTTTCTGATATTTATTTGTCCTAAACATATATGCAATGTCAAGTTTGTAGACTTTATTTCTCAATTTAGTTTTCTGAGATGTCAACACCAAACGATATGTCCTTCTTCTGTTGTGATAAATGAATAAATGATGTTTGGTGTACATGTGCAATGATATTTGTGTTTCTCATTTTTGTCCAATATAAAAGTTCATATGTCACTTCAGTTATTTTACAATGATTTCAAAATGAAAAGGTATGATTTCTTATGGTGTACGCTTAAAGAGGTATGTATCAGAGCTTATGATATGGCTTGCTTTTGTATCATCATTCGTGACTTTTGTATTTCATGATGAACACGAGGCTCTAGCCGTTTGGTAATGCATTGTTGCCATTCAAGCAATTTCTATTAAGGCACTACATAAAACTGCATGTATTTCCCTTGAAAAATGCTAATTTAATTTTAGCTTAAAAACTGTCTTTCTACAAATTCTAATTAGTGCTGATTAAGGACCATACTTGCATTCTGAATGCATGATTCTAAATTGGACAGGACCATATTGTAATTAAGCCAAGAGTTCCAAATGGTGAAGTTGAAAACATCCCTTCGTAAATTTTACGGACGCCATCACGAGTTGGTTGACCGTTATGAAATAACCGTTTCACAGATGATATCGGATATGTTCCTTATGTCGTAACTACAATATCCTTCCCTTTTCACAAATGTGACTTACCGAATTAGACTATTTACCGGATTTGTAATAACATAAGCAACACGACGGGTGCCACATATGGAGCAGGATCTGCTTACCCTTCCGGAGCACCTGAGATCACCCCCAGTTTTTGGTGGGGTTCGTTGCTTAGTCTTTAGTTTTCTATGTTGTGTCATCTGTAATATTATTTGTCTGTTTGTCTTTTTATTTTTGGCCATGGCGTTGTCAGTTTGTTTTCGATCTATGAGTTTGACTGTCCCTCTGGTATCTTTCGTCCCTCTTTGATTATACAAACCTCGTATTGTCATACAGAAAATGATTCCTATCTTTTATGAATGTCTGTTAATTACAGGATGCATCTCAATTTTCATCTACAGATATACTATCGATTATAAATTGAAATTAACACATGTTTGATTTATAGAAAACGTAAATTTAGTTTACCTAAATAACATATTCACAGATGTTCCCAACTCTGAGAACTTTGATGTCGCATTAATGGTATTACTTATCAGAAACCTGACAAGTTTGCAACAACCTGCAAATGGATATGACCACTTACCTTCACCAAATGATGTAAACAGTACTGATGACTTGGCAAGAATCAAATACTACAGAAACAAGATAGCTCACCAAAAAGATGAGAAGATAGATTCAGCTTTCTTCATTGATGCGTGGGAAGATATCAGTGGGGTAAGAATATGAGTTTTTACCTAAGGTAATTGTTGGGATAGGAGTATCATTTATATAAAAATTAGAATTTGGATATGCTTGCCAATGAGACACCTATCCTCCAAATTTGAAATGTATTGTATGTAAACAATTTTAGGCAACCGTACGATCTTGAACAATGAGAAAAACGCATACCGTACAGTCCGCTATAAAAAGGCCCTTATATGAAAAATGGGAAATTTTCAATTGAAAAAACAAACGGCAGAATGTTAAACAAAAGAATTTACGAAAAACAAAACACGACATACACGAATCAACGGCAACCGCTGAACTACTTGTATATGTGATGAGTGTATTTACAACCACTGGGTCGAAGACTCTGCTAGTGGAGTTTTTCTTCCGAGGGTATCACCAGCCCAGTAGGCAGCACTTCTGTGTTGACATGAATTATCATTGATATGGTCATTGTTATTAATTAAAAGTTGAAAATACTTTGGATTTCCGAAATACCAAGGATTTTCTACCCGAGGAAAAGATTACCTTAGCTGTATTTGGCAAAACGTTTAGAAATTGTGGGTCCTCAATGCTCTTCAACTTTGGCTTTTTAAATTTTTTTCATTCGAGCGTCACTGATGAGTCCTTTGTAGACGAAACGCGCGTCTGGCATACAAAATTTCAATCCTTGTATCTATGATGAATTCATCTACAGGGTCTTGACTTGAGACAGGCACTTAAAAAAATATGTCGGGATTACACATGTTTGTGAGCGCTTAACCCTACCATAGCCTTGGAAGGTGGTGTTACAGAACAGCATAAGAGAAAACTGTAAACATCAGTTGCATTGGGTTTAACACAAAAAGATCGGTACGCGGTACAAACAAAACTAAGATTAAAAAAATAATAGACACAAAGCACCCAAATAAGAGTACTCAAAGTTACTAAAAGTTTGTTGAAAACCAATTACTGCTAATAAATAAAGCATGTTTTCACAGACTAAACTAACTTGATTGTCACCTAAAAATGGTATCGTTAGTGTAATAATTATCAAATTTTGGTACAGAACATAATATAATAACCAACCTTTTTTTCAAATACCAGAAACATGAAACTGAAGGTTGCATCTCGAATGGTCCGTTATAAAACTCATGATAATAGCAGAAATTGTACATTCAAGGCAAGTCATTAACGACAGTGGAACAATGTTTTCGAATACATTATAAACTCTTAATTGATAATGCATCTTTGCCTTGTCTTCAACAAAACTGGCAGACTAGGGGACATAGAAATGCTTAATCTGGCGACAGAAACAGCGAAAAATTAATTTCAGAAAGAAGAAGACAGAGAAACTCAAAATCCTGTTTGCATATGCCTTATGTTCTGAAGGTTATTATATGTCCCTTGTTTTTGACCTCATCTTCATTGGTTTGCAACTGTTTTAATCTATATTGTTTATCACAAGATTTTTCACTTATAATTGATGCATCATCAAGGCTCATCTGAATCCTCAAGTAGTGGATCAATGCTCAACGTTAAGTTATCTTGGTTAAAATTTAATTTACACCTATTAAAACAGTATTCAAAGATTTAATTACAGTGTTGAATAGGTAACCTTTTAGAATAAGTTTATTTAATGTAAGATATTTGGTTTTTTTTAAATAAAGTTGCACAGAAAAGAAATTCAAGTTAATGCTATGAACAGATCAGTTTTTTTTTTTATCTTTCCGTGACTTTTTTCAATGTCTTTAACGAAAATGTATATTCGAGATCGTAAATGATTTGCACATATCTCTTTTAGCTCAATACTATAACTTATGTATGAATCGGGTACACCCTTTTGCATTCATACGTGTGTTACAAAATATATTCAACAGTTTTGTGATTTAAACGTATAAAACAAAATCAAATAACATATCACATCTCTTCACGTTCCATTATTTGTTTACTTTCAGGCTTTCTCTCTATTTCTAACATTAAAAATGCACATTACTTAAAAGACTAAATTATGGGCTAAATGAAATACCTTTTAAGTTTGTAATTTGTCATCATAACATAGTAGGTATGTTCAATTTACAAAGTATCAGATAAAAGCCGAATTATATGCAAATCTACTCTTTTCATTAATAAATGCCTCTACCCCTTGAGACGCAAAATCTGACACCCCGAGCGACTCATTGTATTTTGATGAAAAATTAGTTTTAAACTCAATATTTATTTTACTTAGAAGCTGGCATCTGGTTAAATTCAATAACAGGAATTTATTTATATATAAATCATACGGGTAAAAATCTTCAAAAGTAGTTTTATATCCTGAAACTGGCATATGAAGCCTCAAAATCTGCAACACGGAAAACTAGGGAGAGGTGTTTGAGAAAACAGATCACTGAAAACGTCTGCTTCTGCTTGCTGGAAATAGATTATGGTTCGTTTCCTTCCGTGCAATACGTTTTTTGGTACTAACAATTCTCCAAAAAGAAATTTTGATACTTGAATTTACCTTGATCGTTTTTCTCTGCTTCAAAACTGCCACCCCGTGTCAAACATAGCCGACACCCCGCATGTGGCGTTCTACATGGTGATACTAGTGATTTTGCAATAATGTCACGTCTACTTATTTTCATAAGGGACTGAAAATGTTGAGTCAGATCAATTTTTCTAAGATACTTCTGTTCATGAGTGGAAGGTCAAATGAACTATTCTTATCACTTGACGTACGTTGTCTACTTCGCCTGTCGTTGTCGTCTTCGCCTTTCGTCGTCGCCTTGTCGTTTTCTCCTGTCGTCGTTCATAAACGTTTACAAATAAAAAATGTTGTTCTTTAAATTACTCAGCCAACTGACACAAAATAGTTTACATCATGTGTGTGGTGATTCTGACTGACAATCAAAATTGTTGACATGGCTAGAAATTGAACATACCGGTAAAAAAGGTTTTGTCTACTATCTTGAATGTCGCCATTGAAATAGAAAACCTGAAAGAGTAAGAAATGTAAAAAAGACTACCTTTTGTCTTCTTTCACCAAAGCTGTCGACGACTCTTACAGAGATTTATTGTCTTTTTTTTGTCATTACTTTACTATAATCTTTAAATCTTTAATATATAAAGACAATTAACAATTACCGGTAAGACAAGATTTACATATACATAAGTGTGACCGAGATCGTGGATTGACTCCTGATATAAGTGTGTGCCCTTTAAATGATGATTATGTATTAGCAATGTTTTTCGTTTTTGCTTAGTATCTTTTATAACTATAATAAGTTATCGGAAACTGCAACAACCACAATTCATCAACATGAAAAAAATATGTTGCTGTTCCTGTGGACAAAGCTTCAAACAATATTGTTTGTGTATGTAAATCCTTTTACTGTGAGCGTTTTATCAAAGAATTAGGAAAACATGAACACTCGGGTAATCCCATGTACATAAACGTAACCTTTGATAAAGATGAGATCTTGGCAAACCAAAAATCCTGCATGGCCTCATTGAATATTTCAATGAACAACAAATTTGAAGAAATTGTTTTAAATTGATACTTTAAAAAGAGGGACGAAAGATACCAGAGGGACTTAAACTTCACAAAGCTCTGTACAAATAAAAAATACAAACAACGGTACATTGCCGGCTTATCTGCATGTTCTACAAAGAAATTGTCCATTTGATTAACTAAAATTGTGTCTGCCTTAAAAGCGGGATTACAGAAATACTGTGATACTGTTTACTCGCATATTGGCATTAACCATATGTTGTTTCTTAAGAACTGAAAAGAACTTCTGGAACATTCTTAATCTCGATCATTTTCTGAAATAAATTCAATTAAAACCTTCAATTTTTCCACCCTTTTTACCACCATACAACATGAAAAATAAAAAATCTGTCATAAAGAAATAATCCACAATGCTTTCCTCCATAAAAATGGTACCATACGTGGCAAACTTAATGTTTTTGGATATAATTCGACATATTTTGCTAAAATCAAACCCGAAATAAAACATCCTACACCGAAGAACAAGTGATCAGTATGCTTGAGTTTTCGTATTGACAATATATTCGTTGTAGCACGTTGTCGGCGTTTCAATTAAAACAAACTGTGCACCTCTTCTGGCCAACCTTTTCTTATTTTCATATGAGTCGGGAAAAAAAACAAGATGATCAAAGACCCTAGATTATTTAATTTCACACACAGGTATATTGATGATGTTCTTTCCATTAACAATCCAAGTTTATATATCAATATATCCTCCTGAAATAGAGATTAAAGAAATTACAGATACAGCTTCCTCTGCATCATTTGTAGACACTTACTTCGAATTTGACAATAGTGGTTATCTCTGTACCAAATATATGACAAACGGCACGACACGATTTCAATTTTTCCTCAGCTTAGCACATGTAGCAGTAACATTACAAGTTCACCTGCGTATGGAGTGTATATTTCTTAACCAATACGACTTTCAAGAGCTTGCAACTTGTACTTAGATTTTGTAAAACGTCGGTGTCTGTGCCAAAACTTACTGAACCAGCCAAGGTTTGTCATAGAACGTCTCGTCCTTTTTCTAAAAAAAAATCATCCGAAAGACCTAATAGATAAATATTCAGTGTCTACTTCACAAATAACACAAGGTGATCTTGAGATATAGATTATAGGTGCTGAAGTTGTGTATCTTTTTATTTTACTTTAGATTCTACTTTTGTTGTCTTCTTGCTATTATATTTCTTTTGGTTGTATGACTCTTTACGTGACTCGGTATTTATGCATCCCACCATTTGTGAGGTGTGATTCAAAAGGTTTTTGACAGTGTTGTTTCTATTTTGTTTACCATTGTATTTAAATTTACATAATTTTTACTTTATCGAGAAAGCGTTTACTATTAACTTTATCTACAATTTTTTTGGTTACATCATTGTCTAATTTACGTCACTGATGAGTCATTGTAGACGATCGTGCGTCTGGCGTAAAACTTTTGGTCTTGGCATCTATAATTAGTTTTTAGTATTTACTACACCTTTTTTGTTGGCGTCTTAGTAAGATTAATATTTATGTTTGTTTGATTTTTTTAAGTCAGTTGTGTTGTATGTCTGTGATGTATGTCTACACAGTTTTGACTAATGCATCTCTGTTGTCACATTAACCTATTATGTCTGCTTGGGTTGCTTACCCAAATTTGTCAATATAACGAAACTATAAACAGCTATCATATAAGTGGGTGGTTTAGCTTACAATAAGACAGGTTTAACCCATCGTTTTCTTCAACAAATGTCAGGAATATGACAGATGTATTCAAGTCGTTCCATTGGTTGATAAGGTTTGATTGTTCACTTTGTATGGCCTTCCCCCTTTTTGAATATACATTTGTACCTAGGAGTTCGATATTTTTAAACTTCTGTGCTTATTGACTGAATGAGACGTTAGTTCTCTCTTTTAAGATTCACAGAGGAAAAAGAGTAGAAAGAGCTGAATAAATGCTAATTGGAATACATGTGCTTTATATTTGCATATGTCTGTTATCCAATTCATCATATTAATGTTTCACTGACTACTTAAAGGATAAGGAGTTTTAATGCTGCGCCTATCATAGAAGGGAACACACTGCTCTGCGTTCGTCTGTTCTACTTTGTGTTCGTTTGTCCCTTATTGTGCCTAAGTGTCTGGTTAAGATAGTTTACCTATAGAAAATGTAATCCCATCATTTTGAAACTAAGCACACATGTTCATTGTGTTATGAACTTTTTATACTATATGAATTTCAATATTGAATTTGATTTGACGATTCGTTGACCATGATAATCTGACTATGTGGAATCAGTTCATTCCTACAACTATTGGTGTTTAACGACCTTGACTATCAATGAGGGTATCGTACGGTTCATTCCTGATCTAAAGTATAGTTTTAATGAAGTTTACCATCAAATCATAGTCACATTAATTCTTAAACTGTTCACTGAACATCGATATTTAAGTATTTAGTCAACAATAATTTACATGTCGTATCATACAATGATTGTATGGTGTTCAAGTTTGGTAAATAGTCTTCTAATGACTTTGATCTTCTCGTCAGGTTTATTGGTCACTCTTCAGTTCTGTGACAATGTCTTATTTTAGAAAATATAAAAACTTTCAAAGAAACATGTACATGGTTAACAATATTATACACCTAAGCGCATCTCTTCTGGTAATTCTTGTCAGTGGCACTTTCATCAAAACGCTAAGAATACTAATGAAGCACGATACTAATGAGCACTGCAAACCAAAAAGAACAACCTAACTTTTTCGAATGATTTTAACATGTTATGAAAATAAAACTTACAAGAAAAGACCGCATCAGTGACATTTTTTGTCAGCTAAAAATGATAACTACTAAAAAGTAAAATTCCAGCTATATTGGGTATATAGAATAATTCTAAGGTGTAAATGTCGGTAGGACAGGGCTTATCTGATTTTGACCTTCTTTCCTTAATCATTTGAAATATCAAATTCATAATATATAGTAAGACCTTAGTCTAAAAGGGTATTCACTGTTTTAAACTTTTGGAATTATTTCTTAAAGGAAATGAATCTTTCTCATGTATACCTCTGATTTTTTTTTTATTTTACTTTTGGTTCTCTTAGGTTTTATACGCTCGTCAACTTTGTGTTAAAGTTTTGTATTGGTTTGTTTTTTGTTTTTCCTCTAGCGTAGATTAAGACATATTAATGACACAGTGAACATATGGTGAAGTGATTTGGCCCCGTAATGCAATTTCAATATAAATGTGATTACATTTAAAATACATCAGAAGATCAAGTGAGACATTTCAGCTTATAGACTCTTAGGCTGTTATTTATAACATATATGTTATGTTTGATGTACGTGTTTTCAGTACACGGTTGAGGAAATGTAGATACAAATTCTTACTTTGTGTAGAACTGCACTGATTCTAAAAAAACAACACACCGACGTTATTACTTTATTTTCAAAGATATTATCAAAATCCTGTGTTTTTTAAACAATTACACTATTGTTTCAGGTTAGAGTGAAGGTTTGCGCCTATTAAAACGTTTAAACCCGCTGCATTTGTTTGCACCTGTCCTTAGTCAGGAACTTGATGTTCAGTGGTTGTCGTTTGTTGATGTGGTTCATAAGTGTTTCTCGTTTCTCGTTTTTATTTAGATTAGACCGTTGGTTTTTCTGTGTGAATGGTTTTACACTAGTCATTTTGGGGGCCCGTTATAGCTTGCTGTTCGGTGTGAGCCAAGGCTTCGTTTTGAAGGCCGCACTTTGACGTATAATGGTTGACTTTTACAAATTGTGACTTGGATGGAGAGTTGTCTCATTGGCGCTCATACCACATCTTCTTATATCTAAAACTACTGTCGCCTTAATTGATATTAATGGTACACGAAATTCATCAACTATATTATATGTATCGATGTAATATGCATCTCAATGTGTACGGACAGTTAAGTTTAATAAACTGTTGCCACCTGTTCATGTTTAAATTTTGAACTATAGGCTGTAGGAAGACTAAGTGGTCATTATATGGATGAGGAGTGTAAAGATCTTAGAACGAAACATTTAGACCAGTCGACAGTACCTTGGAATATAAGAGGTAAAGCCAGAACATAAAACATTTAAAATAATCCAAAGTAATTTGAGAAAAAACTATGAGTATCTTGTCCCAGAGTAGACTTCCATGCTAAATTGAATGGAAAAGCAGAAATCTAATTCTGCAACGGTACTCTTTACCATCAAGGTCATGTGTTGTTTCAGATTTGTTTTGTTTTATCTTAATTTTTACTGCAATAAACATTCCAAAAAGAAAAAAATAAGTTTCTGAATTCTAAACTTATATGTGTTTGAACCAAATATATATTATGCAAAATAATGACAAATCACCAAATGCAGGTCAAGTTAATATTCGCTTTTGCTGCAAATACCGAAATAATTTCCCCCCCGTAAAATGACGAAAATGATTGAAACTGTTTCAACATAGTACGGAAGAAAATTACTTACCATGAAATGTTGTTCAATTTTAAAATGTCATTGTTCCGTCAGTTACCATTAAAGTAATAGCCCTATATTTCTCTTAATTTGATCTGCCCCTGAAATGATTTTTAAAGGAAAATTTTGTTCTGTGGTTTCAGCTTACTTAGGTAAAAAAAAACAGAAAAGATACCAAAGGGGCATTCTAAAATCATAACCCAATAAAAGTGACAACATGATGACAGAAAAAAAAAAAAACACCGAAAGGACAAATAACAATAACAAAACATTAAGTAAAAAACCCTATAATTAGCAACACGAACCCAATAAAATACTGGGTGAGCAATTGAATCCCGACATGTGGCACCCGTCATGTTCCTCAGAAAATGACTTTTTTGTATTAGCAACATTACAGCTAAAAACACATTGTCTATACTGAGGTGAATTATGTTATTTATGGTTATCATTGGTTATATACCTATGTAGAGTTATTTCCTCTTAGAACGACAGGTCAATCGTTTGAAGGAACAACCTGGACGATACCAAGTTTCAATGAAATGTGCTTCAAGGCATAAAATAATGTGTCGGGTCATTTTTTTCTTTCCTGATAAAAATGCAAACTACAGATTACTAAAACATTTAATCCGTGTGTTGTTGCCAATTGGGTGTTATTGTACAATTTTCAATCTTTAACACTTTTAAAATTTTAAGTCAGGAATAATTCTTTCCTCCCTGTATTAGGCTGAGACTAGTACCCTTTACTCAATTAAATGACAAAACTAGTCCTATTTTCTCTAGGGGAACAGCAGCATTCTTTATGGGGGGATGTAATAATATTTCATCCTGATTTTCAATTTCGTGAAGAAAAATATGTATTGCCAGCGAAAGAGAGAAAACAGACATTCTGAAAAGTTCGATAAAAATTGTGGAAAAAATAATTTGCTTTTCCGCGATAAAAATGTCATGAAACAAGAGAAAAAAAAACTCAGCACCCATTTATATAGATCATATAATAAATTACTTACAAAGTGACTTGTATTTTTCGTAAATATTAACAATTCAGTTGTCTCTTGCTTCATGCAATAACTATACCATTTATATTGTAACTTGACAGTGATTTCTATCGTTAACACATGATCTAGATTAATTAATTCATTAAAAAAATGAGCCATAGGGCGTTGTTATACCTTAACGCTTACAAAAAGAATATCCAACTTCAATGTGAACGGTAAAAAAGGAAACAATTCCTGAAAATCTTTGCAGAAAATTATATTTTTTTACGGTATATAAGTCAAATAATGCCTATTTTAAAGTGTTTCTTGCTTTTTAACACACCATGTGGTGTGTTATACGCCAAGAAACACCTTAAAATATGCCTTATCTATGACTTAACAAGACCATTCCAAAATTATGGAGATACAATGTCGAGTGTAATGTTTACAGTCCCTTTTTTTCTTATAACCTGTGAATTAGATAGAAATAAATTAGTTATCACATCTTTTCTATTTGCTGCACCTATGCATCTTTGTTTGGAATGATACATTTAAGAGTCCCTGAATAAAATATATGCAAAAGAAAATATATGGAATTTCGCTATCATGTCGGAAATGATGAGCGATCTTCAAACTTAAGGCTTCACAGTTTTAAAATGAATTTTGCTAAAGAATCAAAAGCCATCTGGAGACCAATATTCCATACTCAACAAAGTGCCGACAAGGTGTGATTTTGTTTGATTAGTTTATTTTAAGATCTCAATCCTATTCTTTTTGAAATCGTAATTAGTGAATTAAAAGTAAAATACATAACAATCAGGATAGGAAAAGTACTTCAGTCAGAAATAGCATAATAAGGAATAACAAAAGTACCAATTAAACAATAATAAACTAAACAGTATCAAACAATGGTCACAGTTACTTAAAACATGTTCAAAGTACTTGATGTTTTAACAATCATGCTGACTCACGATCTATTATCGGAGACAAAATTTCATAGACGATTTTAATCTGAAAGCTCAGTGTTTTGGCTCACACGAACGACAAATAAAATTCAATTCTTTACCTGATAAACAAACCTCCTGAGAGGGTGAAAACTGAAAAATACAAAATAAGCAATACTTTACTAACAATTAGTATTGTAAAAATACAGCATATACAATACACAATAAACTGTCAAAAAATCAAAACAAACATTTTCTTTTAAAACCATATTTTCTGTTACATGAAGTGTTTAATACCAGATCTTGTAACAAATGCTTGTCTCTTTATCATATTTTTAGTCTGAACAATATAAACGTTCACAATAAAAGTAATTAATTAATTTATATACACGTTTACAGCAAAAACAATAACACATCACTGGTTGTTACTGACAAAAACAGTCGCCTTTTAGAGCAAATAATGTGTGTGATTTTCAAATAAACAAACACCACAAAGTCTACGCTTTTCTAGAGAAAATACCCTAATCACAGTAAACAGTATATTAAGCTCATTTACATTAATTTTAAGATTTCATGTGAGTGCAACGCAAACGGTCTTTGCTTTCGCTCCAGGTATTCGGACACCACAATGACAACACCAAGAACCAATAAATTAAACTAAAGACAGGTTTAATAAACATAGAAATGACAAGAGGTGACGATTGCGCCAAGCAATGTATTCGCTCATATAACAAATAACCAAGATTCATAAAACAGTTTCATATTTAATAGACAAGACAATAATACACACATATCGCGGTATATCCATAGGAAATTTTAATCCTAATATATCAATACATTTTCGAACCTCACCTTGTATGATGAGACGGAGCGATGCATTTGCAGTGAAAAATATCCATAATAAATTAACAAAGTACAAGGAAAGTGTTTAGCCTTAGTGCTATCCAATTGATTGAAATAAATAGATTCACCCACTAGAATTTTAGACGTGTCTATTTACTTGAAATATTAAAAGCTGTACAAAATTCGTCCTTAACAAAAACTAAATTAATCAATCAAGTTCGTGACGTCGCACCTTGCGAGATAAAATAAATATACCCACTGGTTCCCACTGACTTTGTACGACTCGAACATGAACCTCGTAATTCCATGTACCATGAATCAAAGTCTGTCCAGTAAAACAAAACAACATCGCATTAAATCTATTCCCGTTAAATACTCGGTCCAACCAGAGCAATGTCTGAAACACATTTTTCAATAGCATTGACCAGTTCAAGACCTTAAAAAAGCAGGCGATAATACAAAATTCAATTCCAGAGTAAGGCTCGAACAATTCCGAAGATTGACGACCGTTACTCTAAAATATCCCTCGGATTAACCATCTTTCTCAATATCGCTACCAGAATGTACCCTATTTCTTTATAGACCCGAAATCATAAAAATATCCAACTAGTGTACAATTTGTTTGGAACGGAAACGTAAATTAAACATTTAGAAATGTTTGACTCTAAAACCAAAGAATATATCAAATGTAAAGAAATAAATATTTAAGTCAAACATTGAAAATAAATAAAATGAAATCTAAAGTACAACTTACCAGTACGAAAGTTTTCCCCAATCTAAAGAAATATTGTCCAGACAAGGTTTAATTATCCAAGTCTGGACATTGAGTCTCAAGCAGGAGAAAAACGATCCCCGTGAAAAGTGACGGACAAACCTAGTAATATATAATATCTAAAAATAGAAAAAGAGTATTTACGATGACCCATTAACGTTACAGAAGACTGTACGATTACCAAGTTAAAACAGCTTCGTGTAACCGGACCAAAAAAATAGAATGTTTGTCACCTGAACTGTATGACTTAAAAAGATTATTCCTGTCTGACAAAACTTATACATATTTAAACAAAAGTATACTGCATGTTAACTTACGCTTTGGTGTCTGAAGTTACAAAATTTCAAGGGATTTCTTCAACAATTGAGCTTTGACAAATTGGCTAACATGCCGGATTTAATCATGAGTGAATAAAACATGTAAAAGAAATCGAAGATGGAAAAATTATGTATAATTTCCGGAAACACGACACTCAGAAAAAAAACACAAGAAGACATGTTCTGCAGTACAAAGAACAATACCGACAGACATTCAATTCGAAAAAAAACTTTAACTTCTGCTTCAAACTATGATTAACGTCGTAATTATAAAAACAAAATTCAACAAGACGATTTGAAACGCTCGCTTTTTTGTTTAGTTTTTGTGGAGTGAATTGTATATCGCTCTTGATTTTCTAGATACACTCGCCTTTTTTTATTTTTGGATAGCATGATCACAAAGTATGGTAAAAAAAGCTAATTAGAGAAAATTATCTTCAAAATATAATTTTAATTGGCAAAATAGTTTCGTGTTACTCAATGAAAATGACCCATAGCATTGATGCATTTATATTTCAGAACAAAACAGTCAGATATTGAAACAGTGGCAGAAGAATGATGTTAACTTTGTAGAGACGAAAGCTTCAACACATGTGCTTAAATGTATCAAAGAAAATAGTTGCGTAACTATTATTGCTAGTTCTGGAGTTGGAAAGACAGCAACCCTTCAGCATGTCGTATTAAAAATGGCAGATGAAGGGTATGATGCACTACTAGTAACCAATCCACAAGACATCATTAGATTTTATTATCCAAATCGGAAGGCTTTGTACGTTATTGATGACTTCTGTGGGACATATTCGATAAATGAGACTGACCTTAAGAACTGGGATTCGGTCATGAAACGTATTAAAGAACTTATTGAATACAAACACATAAAAATTATCGTGGCCTGTCGATTACAAGTGTACCTAGATGAAAAGTTTGAATCACTGTCGGTTTTCAAAATCAACGTATGTAACTTGTTGTCAGAAGACTTGTGCTTATCATCTACAGAAAAGAAATCAATAGCAGCAATATATTTAAAAACAGAAGCCTCCTGTATTATTAACTATATTGATTTACATAATTGTTTTCCACTTATGTGCAAAATGTATCATGATAATCCTGAACGCAATATATCAGATTTTTTTCAGAATCCATTTTCTGCGTATGAAGTAGAGATGGAACAAATTAGGATAAAGGGATGTCTAGGTAAATTCTGTGCTTTGTCATTGTGTGTCATGTTCAACAATGAGTTAGAGGAGGAAGTGTTCACAGAAGATAGAAATACAGAAATAAGAACCATCATAGAAAACACATGCAAAGCATGTAGACTAGAAAAAGGAACAACAGGATTTACCTTATTGAAAGAACTCGATTCTCTTGAACATACTTTTATCAAAAAAATAGGCGGGGCTTACAAAACTATAAATGATAAGCTTTTTGATTTTTTATCAAACTATTTTGGAAAATATATGATTCAAACTTTGATTAAGAATGGGCATAGTGACCTCATCAAGGAACGATTTGTATTCGAAAGAGAAGACGGAATGGACCAGTTCATCACTGTTGTTCCATTTGAATATCATGACACTTACATACAGAGGATAATTGATGACTGGTCTAATGGTAAAGTGGTAACAGTGTTCTGTAATAAAAATATGTATACACCAAAGTTTAGACAGATATTACATTGTTATCTGAAAACACTTGATAAAACATACCAAAGACAATTAGCACAAACTCGCGATAGCAATAATAGCGATACTGTACTAGTACAGTGTTGTCTAAAAGGTGATATTTCTTTAATGCAGTGGTGTTGTGATCATGGTGTTGATGTCAACCTGTGTAGGCATGATGGTATGACTCCACTTTATTTATCATCAAAGGAAGGCAATACTCAAGTAGTGAAGTTGTTATTGGATAATAGAGCAACCATTAATAAGTGTATAAATAATAAAGCATCCCCTTTATTTGTTGCTTGTCAGAAAGGATACATCGAAACGGTTCAAATGTTACTAGACAACCAGGCAGACATTAATAAGTGTACGAATGATGAAATGTCTCCTCTGTTTATTGCATGTCAGAATAGTCATTTAGATATTGTGAAATCTTTATTGGACAACAAAGCAAGCATAAATAAGTGTATGTATACCGGTGCATCTCCACTGTTCGTTGCTTGTCAGAATGGAAATTCCGATATAGCAAAGCTGTTACTTGACAATGATGCAAACATCGATAAGTGTATGAATGAGGAAGTATCTCCCCTGTATATTGCTTGTCAAGAAGGGTATGCTGATATAGTACAGCTATTAATGAATAATAATGCTGACATTAATAAGTGTATGGATGATGAAACATCCCCCTTGTACATTGCTTGTCAAAATAATCATTTACAAATAGTACAGCTGTTACTTGCTAGCAAGTCTGACATTGATGAGTGTTTGTATTCCAAAGTTTCTCCGTTATTCATTGCTTGTCTGAAAGGGTATCATGATATAGTGAAATTGTTGCTGCTAAACATTACAGACATAAATATATGTATGAACAATATAGCATCTCCTCTCTATATTGCTTGTCAAAATAATCATTTACAAATAGTTAAGATTTTATTGGACCACAAGGCAGAAATTGATACAAGTATGCATTATGAAGCGTCTCCTCTGTTCATTGCTTGCCAGAGGGGATATACAGACATAGTACAACTGTTACTGAACAACAACGCAGACTCAAATAAGTGTATTAGCGGTAATGCTTCGCCTCTGTATATTGCCTGTCAAAACAATCATATTAAAATAGCAAAACTGTTACTAGGCAACAATGCAGATATAAATAGATGTTTAAGTGATGGAACATCTCCTCTATTCACTGCCTGTCAGAACAATTGTGTAGATATAGTTAAGTTGTTATTATACCACAATGCGGATGTTAATAAGAGTACGACAGACGATGTATCTCCTCTGTTTATTGCGTGCCAGAAAGGATTTGAAGAAGTAGTACAGTTGTTACTTGACAACCAGTTGGAGATTGACAAATGTACTAGTAATGAAATATCTCCTCTATTTATTTCCTGCCAGAATAAATATGTAGATATAGTTAAGCTGTTAGTAGACAACAACGCAGACGTTAATAAGTGTACGAAAGATGATAAATCTCCACTGTTTATTGCTTGTCATAACGGATGTAAAGATATAGTACAGATTTTACTGGACAACAATGCAAACATTGATAAGAGAATGAAAAATGAAATATCTCCTCTGTTTATTGCTTGCCAGAACAAACATGCAGATATAGTAAAACTATTAATAGACAACAGGGCAGATATAAATACATTTGTGAATGTTGAACTATCTCCCCTGTTTATTGCATGTCAACAGGGGTGTACAGATATAGTGCAGCTATTACTTGACAACAAAGCAGACATCAATCAATGTATGAAGGATAAAATAACTCCCCTGTTTATTGCGTGAAAGGATATAAAAACATAGTAAAGCTATTACTGGAAAACAAAGCAGACATAAATAAAGGTATGAATGATGAAGTATCCCCCCTATGTTCTGCTTGTGAACATGGAAATACAGCTATAGTACAGCTATTACTGGACAACAATGCAGACATTGAGAAGTGTATTAATAATAGAATATCACCTTTGTATATTGCTTGTCAGAACAATTATGTAGATATCGTATCGCTATTAATAGACAACAATGCTGACATTAATAAGTGCATGGACTATGATGCTTCACCCCTTTTTATTGCTTGTCAGAATAACCATATGGATATAGTTAAGCTGTTACTTGAAAATAATGCAGACATTGACAAGTGTATGAATAATGAAGCATCACCTCTATTAATTGCTTGTCAGAAAGGATGTACAGAAATGGTTCAGCTATTATTGGACAACAACGCAGATCTCAATAAGTGTGTAGATACGGGAGCATCCCCTCTGTTCAATGCTTGTCAGGATGGCTATATAGATATAGTAAAGCTGTTATTGGAAAACAAGGCAAACATCAATAATTGTAGGAATGATGAAACATCTCCCCTATGCATTGCATGTCTTGAAGGACACATAGAGATTGTAAAGCTGTTACTTGCCAACACAGCAGATATAAATAAGTGTAGGGATAATGAAACATCGCCCTTGTTTATTACTTGTAAGAAAGGATATATAGATATTGTAAGGCTACTGTTGGACAACAAGGCACGTGTTAATAAGTGTACCGATACTGGGTCGTCCCCCCTGTTTATTGCAAGTCAGAATAATTATCCAGACATAGTTAGGCTATTACTAGAACACAATGCAGACATCAATAAGTGTAGGAATGATGATTCATCTCCATTGTATATGGCATGTCACAATGGATATAAAGTTATGGTAAAGCTATTGTTGGAAAACAAGGCAAACATAAATAAACGTACCCGAAATGGTGCATCCCCTATTTTTGCAGCTTGTCAAGAAGGACATATAGATATCGTCAAAATATTGTTGGAAAAGGGAACAGAATGTGCCATTGATGATGTATCTCTTTTCTCAACCCTACGTATTGCTCGAGAAAAAGGTAACAATGATTTAGTGACCCTTATTTGTGAATTTTCCTCTCAAACTGAGATAATTTACAGTCGAGTCGCTTATGAAATTATACAAAAAAATAAAAATCTCAAACCTTGACTTTTTGTTATCATACTATACAGCACCGATTATTTTAAAAAGAAAAAAAAAAGAATAAAATAATAGAATTCCTGCGTTATAGAAATTATAAAAATCAAGAAATTTTGTTTTGCATGCACACGTATAAAAATTGCGGTTTTTATCCAACGCAATCATAGGTTTGAACGTTGTTTTCAATTTAGACTTGTTTATATTTTTTTGTTTGGGCTTGTATTATATTTTCCTTCGGGTTTATATGATCCGTTCATCCTATTTCTAATATTTCGACTCTTCAAAATTCAAGAGTCTATCCTAAATTGAGGTAAATCATATGGCCTTTCAAATACCGTTTCGATCCCTAACATCACTGAAGAGACATTAATTGTCGAAATCCGGATATGGTGTACTAATTTTTGCACCTTTTGTTAGCGATATACCATCTTTTCCGCAAGTTTATTGTTTTCTGTTTAGTATTAAATTAATAATTTTAAAAGATCCATTTTGTAACATCTTGTGATCCGTTTATTTGGCAATCGCCAAGCAGGGTTTAAGAACATCTGTTGTTCGACCTGTTACTCAAATGCGTTTTGTTAAAATATACTTTTTCACTTTTTTTGGTCTTTTGGAGAATGTTGTTTGTGCTGTACTTAGACCCCTCTATCAAGAAATTTTGTTTTGCATGCACACGTATAAAAATTTCGGTTTTTATCCAACGCAATCATAGGTTTGAACGTTGTTTTCAATTTAGACTTGTTTATATTTTTTCGTTTGGGCTTTTATTATATTTTCCTTTGGGTTTATATGATCTGTTCATCCCATTTCTAATATTTCGACTCTTCAAAATTCAAGAGTCTATCCTAAATTGAGGTAAATTATATGGCCTTTCAAATAACATTTCGATCCCTAACATCACTGAATACACGTTAATTGTCAAAATCCGGATATGGTGTTCTAATTTTTGCACCTTTTGTTAGCGGTATATCATCCTTTCCGCAAGTTTATTGTTTTCTGTTTGATATTAAATTAATAATCTTAAAAGATTCATTTTGTAACATCTTGTGATCCGTTTATTTGGCAATCGCCAATGGCAGTCAGCAGGGTTTAAGAACATCTGTTGTTCGACCTGTTAGTCAAATGCGTTTTGTTAAAATATACTTTTTCACTTTTTTGGTCTTTTGGAGAATGTTGTTTGTGCTGTATTTAGACCCCTCTATCAAGAAATTTGTTTTGCATGCACACGTATAAAAATTGCGGTTTTTATCCAAGCAGTCATAGGTTTGAACGTAGTTTTCAATTTAGACTTGTTTATAAACATGTATATACATATATCATAAAACATTCAGGGACCGTACAATACTAAATATATCATTGTTTACTAAGCAACATATTGAATCTTGGATAACTTTGTTATATATAATGATACAAATAAACCAAAAGATGATGTAGAATTTCACGGTAAGCATATGAATAAACCTAAAGAAATAAAAGTAGTGCGCTCTTTCAAAATGCTTTTCTTTATTTCGTTTGATTTGTTTGAGTAATTGACTTTTAGTTTTGCATTTTCCTTGGAGTTCGGTATTTTCGTAATTTCACTTTCTAGTGAAGGTTGTATGCATTATTGATCCTTCATACCATCATTATGGTTGTTTGTTGTAAAACATGTTTCCTGATGTTCTATATTCCGGTTAAATCTTACCTTTGTTGACTGGTGTTTATTGTTTCATCTTTCTTAGCTATGGTATCATTTGCTGTTCGTAGGTCTAAGATTTATTTATTCTATCGTTTTTATCTACCTACTTTTTATATTACATAACAGCGCTTACCCCTCTTTGAAAGCATACGCATTTGCTAATATTGTCGACGAGTTCTAATCTTTCTCATTTCGAGAATGGCATAAATTAGTTTCACTTTCATGAAGTAAAAATTGTGCTTTTTATGAGCCTTCAAACTATCAATAATCGTCGTCTTAATTCAATTAGATACAAATATGCTTCCTTTTCCTTCTTTATCAATGCCAACAGAGCAGGAGCAGGAATCTTCATTTGTTTATACTTCTCGACATTCCGTTTGCTAGCTGACTAAAGTTTTATTTCAACTTATTCGTTGAAGACCGAGTTCGAGCAGGCAAATACAATTTAGGAACTTCTACTGTTCCTTTGAGGGCTACATGTAAATGTCGACATGAAGCGAAGCAAAGGGAAATTTGTGTTTTTCATACTTGAATTTCATTTTTATGCAATTATGTCCAAAATATTCCAGAGTGTATCTTTTTATGTTCCCTTGCTCAAGCCGGACATAAATAAATTCTCGAATTTTAAATTAATAGAAACCTGATCTCGGTGATTATTTTTGCAGCAAATTCTCTATATCGGTAGCAAAACTGGTACTAATTGAAAAGCAATTGCAAATGATGAGCAATCAAACATGTCAACCTTAATCTCTGTTTACTCTGTGTAACCAGTGAATAAATAGAAGATGTGGTATGGTAGCATTCGGGACAACTTTTTTTTTCAGTCAGAGACCAAATGTCGTAAGTTAGCTTTAGACTGTTGTTTAGCCTTAACAATGAGCGACTATCCTTTCTAGAGAACACATTGGGAGATTCCGAGCGAGTCAAGGCTAAAATTCAATCTTAAACATTTGCAACTTGGTACAATCCATACCATATCAAATTTTAATAACATGTCTAGTTTCCCATTGCAACCTTCATCTTATATTTTACTGTAAATTCAGTGATATTATACCTTGATAAACACAATATAATAGTGTGAGGAAGCTAATGTGTGTAATAAGTTCTTACAAAATGTCCTATAATTTGTGTATATGAATACAATGAAAATTCCATGGAACGAGCTCTACAAAACGACCGTCACTGAAACCAAAAAGTGCCAGATACCAAGAGTACGTTAAAAGGCGAAGAGACACTGACAACATGAAGGCAGAAAACGAAATAAGACGAAAACACAAACAAGTGAACAACCAATGCATAAAAAGGTCAAGAATATATAACAGATACCTCATCAAAAAAATAAAAAAATTGAAAACAACACGTTATAAATTTCATGCGTTCGAAGCGCTTTTCTGGATTTACCTTCATCAGGAACGCTCAAAGCCAAATATTTGAAAGCCAAGGATGTATAAGGATGTATAAGGACCGCAACATATGGTGTGTGCTTCAGAAGAGTATGCAGATCTTGTCACACTAGTAGCACCCGTGATATTGCTTAAGAAATGAGTAAGAAGTCTCATTCAGTGATATCACAATCGATCACAGAAGAGAAAACGAAAGGGTAATAATGTTTTAAGTAAACTTAGTTGTACCCTAATGTTTCATGGTTAACAAAATTTAAGACTTATTTGTAGTTTGCAAGATACAACTTCTAAACAAAATGGTTTTGATTGTCAAAAGGATTCCGTTTCACAGCATCAAACTGTATGCATATTTAGTTTATTGTTGTGTTTGTGTGCTTGTTGGCTTTAGTCAAATAACAAACAAAGCTTTAGTTTCAAACAACGGATAAAACTTATATATACAGTCCGCCAATAGTTAAGCACCACCTATCTTTGTTGCATCGAAATTTTGTTCATTTAAAAAAACCAGTTAATCCTCGAAAAAGAGAAAATATTCATGTAGCAATTTTGCTAACATATGCAATAAACAAACCATAAACTTAAGTTTGGTCACTGATGCAGGTTCTATGCATTTGAATTTTGCGTTCATAGAAATAGTGAAAATTACACAAATCAGAAGTTTTACTTTGATTTTATTTTTTTAACAACAATTAATCACCCAAAATAGTTAAAAGTCTCTACAAATAA